TGTGTAGCAGTAGTATTGCAGTGCCGAAAAAAACATTATGTTGAACAACACTTACAGTCACTTTTGATGTGAATTATTCACTTAAATCTGAAGAAAGAAAAAAAATATGTTAACTATAATCTAGTTTAAGTGCACATTTTCCAGATGTCTAGTGAAAACATATTGTTTTCACCAGACATCTGGAAAATTCTAAAAGGCCACTATTGCTTCTTTTAAAATTTAACAAGACTTGCAGTTGTCAAATAACACTGTCACAAGTAGAATACAGGCAGTTTTACCAGACATTCAAACTCAGTTAGAGACTGGCTTGGAATTATGTGGCTGGTTCTCACTTTGACAAGACAACAGATATATCAGACACCAAACAATTAGCAGTTACAGTGATAATGGTATTTATTAACTTCATAGTAAAAGAAGTTATGTTACAAATTTTACCTATGTAAGGACAGTGTGAATATTTATAAAATATTCAGAACAAGTCAATAATTATGCCTTTGCACAAAGTGTCTGTGATAACCACCAATGAAGCACCAGCAATGGTAGGTAAAAACAAAGGATTCATTGCCCTCTGCAAGGACGATGAATCATTTTCAAACATTATGTCTTACCACTGTACTATCCATCTTTTCAAGGCCCTGTCAGATACTGAAGGTAAAAAGCATTATCTTATTCTGTATACTGAAGTATGTTGGCTTAGTAAAGGAAAATTTCTTACAAGAATAAGGTTTGGTTGACATTTAATATTTTCCAGAATTTTATAACTAAAGAAATAAACTCATGAGTTCCTGTTATATCTTTGTTTTTTTCTTTTCCAAAATACATCAAGGCTACTGCTGTTTTTTTGTCAAATATTTTCAAAGCTAATTTAGTATTTTGTCTTTTAATAGTGGTTAAAAGCATTATTTGTCAAATTTGAAGCAAATTTAACAATATTATCTTTTTTAACTGTCAAATATATTAAATACATGCATTACATTTACATTCATCAGTAAAACCAGGATCTAGAAATAGGTTCTTACAAGAATTTAATTAAAGAAATAAAAACATTTATAAACAATAAAAAGGAAAACTTTAATGAACTTGGTGAATCTTGCTGGCTGATTGATTTGGGATTAATCACAGATTAATCCCAAATCAATCCCAAAATTACATGATTATCATGGTAAAATTGAACTCTTAAAATTTGGAGTTGCAGGGGAAAAATTAAAACATAGCTGAAATGATAAACTCTGTAAATTCATTTAAAACTAAATTGTATTTGTTGATCACATCTGCAGATCACTTCTCTTGTCAAAAAATGCTAGGTAAATAAATGCTAGGTAATGTCAAAAAATGCTAGGTAAATAAATGCTAGGTAATGTCAAAAAATGCTAGGTAAATAAATGCTAGGTAATGTCAAAAAATGCTAGGTAAATAAATGCTAGGTAATGTCAAAAAATGCTAGGTAAATAAATGCTAGGTAATGTCAAAAAATGCTAGGTAAATAAATGCTAGGTAATGTCAAAAAATGCTAGGTAACAATGAATTAAATAGGCCATTACTTATTATCTTTAAGTCTTAAAAAAACAGTTTGAAGAGAGATTTTTGCAGTTTACATATACCAAGTCAATTGTTTCTTTCTGTATCAATCATTATACTTACTAAATAAATGTAATGGAAATGGCCATATGTATTGCAGATTTTGTTCAAGTTAAGATAAAAGAAGTACAGTCAGAAATTTTGGACCTTAAAATAGATCTTATAGATAACTCACGGAATCTTTATGATTGTTTGCTAACAGGATTATCATCACACTCCCCTAATTATGAGGCACTAGTCAATAATATGCAATGCTAAAGATCACATTGACATAATGATATTATAATTTTTTAATGAAATCTTTTCTTGTGTTTGTGTTTTTTGTTTCCTTTATTTATGTTCTATAAATACATTTCTATGTGTGTATGCAATTTGAAAAATAATTTTATTTCGAATCATTTTGGTAATTATTTTGGTTATTATGGAGTTTGTTGATTAAAAATAGGTGGTGGCTGCCACCCTACCAGAATTTAGAATGTCCTAAAATATTGGTCTAGACTACAAAAAGGTTGGGAACCCCTGATTAGCTGATGCATTGGTTTTGGTAACCATTGCCTAATGCAGATTGTTTTGAAAACATCAATTTTCTTATTTTTTTTGTTTCTATGCTTATTATATAAGCATATATGCAATCACTATACCTTTGAATATTTTTTAAACAGTTTTTTATCAGGGGCTCACTTACATTTTTAGTGCCTTTTTATAACTTAAAAAAACAATTATATGGCTTATGGATCCAAACTACACAAAAAAAGTTCAAAACCAAAAAATGTAAATGTATTGTAAAATGTTCCTCCTCATATATGTATATATATATATATATACATGATACATATATATATATATATATATATATAGTATAATATATATATATATATATATATATATATATATATAGATATATATATATATATATTATATATATGTATATGTATATATATATATATATAGTATATATATATATATATATTATATATATATATATATATAATATTAGTATATATATAGTATATATATATATATATATATATATAGAATATATATATAATA